CGGCTTGTTAATTGGAGCATTGCTCATTGATTGGGGTATCAAGGATGCTGAGAGCCCAGGGGTCTCAACCACGCTTCCCCCCTCCCTGCGCAGTGCAGGTCCCGCACGCCCTCTCGTTTCCCACCAGCTAATTAAGAGGCGCACAGCTCTCCACGACGCTCGGCTGCCTACGGATTGCAGCGAGCGACAGCTTTGCTCCTCCTCCCCATCTCTGCCGCCGCTGACTCTGCCCACCGGAGCCGCACAGAGCAGGAATGGAGGGGGACTTGGCCAGGAGAGCAGCCCGGCTGCCCGCGCTGCTGCTGGCGCTGCTCGGCTTCGCGCCAGGTGAGTGCCTGGGCATCGTGCCCTCGTCCCGCGGGTTGGGCAGTGGTGTTGCTGCGCCGCTTCCCTGCTGTTCTGCATCCCTGTGGGCTCTCGGCCGCATGGGTCCGAGGCAGGAGCGCAAGCGCGTGATGCTCCACGGAGAGGTTTCATAACGGGGGGCACCAAGCATCCCACTGCCCCCATCCTGGGGGGGTTCTGCTCGCCGCCGCCGTTTGCGCCCCGCGGAGCCCGTTGGCCCCTGGGCTGCGCCTGCTGAGGCTCTTACGTAAAATGTTGAGAGAGGAATCCCCTTAATTCCCAGCGTGCTAATCCACACATTTAATAATTCCCATAAAACCCTCAATTCCGACAGAAAGCATCTTCTAGTCCGGGTAGATTAGCAGGGAGCTTTTATCTTCCTAATGCTTAATTGGCTTCGGAGCGTGCGGCCGTCGCACGGGGCTGGCGGTGGCGGCACAGGGTGCTTATGGTGGCACAAACACGGCCCTGCACGATGGCAGAGGGGCTGCTTGGGGGGGGCTGCAGGTCCTCCAGCCCCCCTCGATCAGAGATATTGGCTTTGGGAGCGTAGGGGTGATGAAAGAATGAAGCTTCCTTGATGTGTATCAAATAAACCCTGGGCTTAAAACGCCGTCAGAGATCTTTTGCTGAGGTCTGAGATCTGAGCTGGATCAGGGTGCACTGCAAACACCTCCTTCCTCTCCCAAACTACTTCTGGGGGCTCCTGGCCTCAAGCCACCAGGACAGGAGGTGGTGGTGATGGGCGGATGCCCTCCTGCTTTCTCCAGCCATCGTTTCCCCTGTGTGCTGGGGGCTGTGGTGACCCCCCCCCCCCCCACACACACACTCCTTCCTCCCCTTGCTGCGTCCTGGGGCTCAGCATCTGCTCAACATCTGTGCAAAGGGCTCACGTGCCAGCCCACAACCGAGCTCCAAAATGTGGGGATCCCCCAGGGAAGGATCACATAGGATGGGAGGGAGTGGGGCTCAGCCCAGCGTAAGGCTGTGATCGATGGAAGGACCCGGAAGAGCCCCTTGATGCTCAGGATCAGAGCAGCAAGTGCCCAGTGGTGGAGAGCTTTGCTTCCCCAGCAAAGCCAAGAAGCAGCTTGTAATTCCGGCTGCACGAGGGCTTTTTATAAAGCGAATGCTGGGATGTCTGCTTTTAATCTGCTTTAATATAGAAGCACATCTGCTTCTGTCAGGGTGGGGAGGGAGAGGAGAGGACCGTGGGGACACTTTGCCCAGGTCCCAGCACGGATGGGGCAAAGCCTGGCCTCACTGCTGGATATTCCAGTGTGTAGAATGGGGACAGGTGGTGGGGGGCTTTGAGGAGATGCTGGCCCTCTCTTGCCGGCAGAGCTGGAGGCGGTGGAGGAGACAGCTTGTAGGTAGGCGGGAGCTGCCTGTGCCAGGAGCTGGTGCTGAGCGTGACTGCAGAGCACTGCCAAAAATCCACAGTGTAGGCTCAGCCCGAAGTCCTGGAGGTGGCTCCATCCCTCCTGGGTACCCACGGTCTCCCTCCTCCCTGTCCCCACACTCACCTACACGCGGCAGTGGGATGCAGGACTGGTACGTGCCCACGAGCATCCCTCTGGAGCCAGATCCATCCTGGTCCGCTCCAGTCCTGCTGCTGTAACTGTTGTGATCTTTTCGTAGGCATCTGGGCCGAGGCGCGTTTTAAGGCGGACAATGAGGTTTTGCAGATGCTGGCGGGGAACTCCTCGCAGAGTCTGTTGGAGCATTGTTCCGGTGAGCGCCCTGCCGCAGTGCCTAAACCGCGCCGTTCAGATGCAGCTTCGGCATCCGAACACGTAGCTCTTGTTGGACAGCAGCTCTCGACCCTGGCAACTTCCCTTCCCCGCTAGCAGCAGCTCCGCACGGCCTCCGTGGTGTCCCCATCCCGCAGAGGGACATTGCGGTGGGCAGAGAGCAGATGTGTCTGCAACCGGGCAGGGCGATGCTTCCTCTTCCTCATCCTCTTCCTCCAGCTTGGACAGCGGTGCCGGGTGGGACCCGTCCCCAGGGATCCTTCAGCCCATCCCCACGCTGTACCCAGCACCCTGGTGACGTTCTGCCTTGTTGTCCCCAGAGCTCCTGTTCGGCCAGGTGCGGGCGCAGCCCCAGCAAGTGTCTGGTGTCCTGGGGGGCTCGGTGCTGCTCTCCCCAGTGCTGCCCCCTGGCAGCAGGGTGAAGGAGATCGAGTGGAGCTTCTCCTCTGGTGCCGGTGCCACCATCCAGGTGGCTGAATTTGGCCCAGGGGGCTTCGAGCGCCCTGACCCCCAGGACCGTTTCAAGCAGCGCCTGGAAATGCCCAACGCCACAGCGCTGAGGATCGGGGCCCTGGAGCTGGGAGACAGCGGGGTCTATGGGGCACGGATCAAACTGCACCCGGCGCTGGTGGAGGACCAATCCTTCAACCTCTCTGTCTACGGTGAGCGGCTGCCAAATGGGGGTGGGTTTCGGGAACACTAAAATGGGGAAACTGTGGTGCAGAAGAAGGAGGTGACTTAGGTTAGACCCTAACCTTTCACATTCCATGCTCGGCCTTCCAAGCCCCCCCCCTTCTCACATCACCCCAAACACCTGCGGGCTGGCTGTGCCCTGCCCCGTGATGCAGGACAGTGTGATGTGTCTGAGCAGAGCCGTGCCATGCTGACCCATTCCCTGTTGGGTGCAGAGTCGGTGCCGAGACCCCGGACCCACAGCCAACTGCTGGCCAGCACCCTGGAGTGGTGCAACCTGACCTTGCAGTGTCAGGGCACTGGCAAAGGGGCCGTCAACGTCACCTGGAGGAGGGACAACGGCCGACAGGAGCTGGGCACCGACCGCTCACAGCTGTCCCCGGATGGCACCACGCTGCGCCTGGCCCTGCAGCCTGGCACCGCCAATGCCACCTACACGTGCACTGTCAGCAACCCTGCTGACCAGAAGGTCGTCCCTTTCGACCTGCAGAGCATCTGCCGCAGTGGAGGTGAGGAGCCGGCCTGTTTTAGGGGTCCGAGCACCCTTGGGTGCCCTCAGGTTGGGTGAAGGTTCCGTGGCCATCCCCTGGTTCAGCCCTTTTCTGTGTGCTCCAGGAGGACAGGTGTCCTTCTCCAAGTCGGGGTACATCGTCCTCACCCTCATCCTGCTGGCTGTCAGCCTTGGCGGAGCCTTCTGGTGCTGGCGGCTCAACAGCGAGAAGTCAGCAGATCCAGGTCAGTGAAAGCACTCAGAGCTGAGCTGTGATCAGGGCCATTTCTGGCCCTCCCCACCTTCATGACATCCTGCTCTCTGCAGCTGCCACCCCCACAGCACCGGCAGAGGAGAGCCCCCCAGAACCTCAATACACCGAGATCGTGCACCGCAGCCCCCCGGAAGGTAATGACCAGGTGAGGAGCAGTGGGGCTGGGCTGTGCTCAGGGGTCCCCATTGCATTGGGGTCCTCATCACATCTGGGTTGGAAGGGCCATAAGCACCTCGATTCTGCCTTAGGGCCTACGTCCACCTGAAAACAACCCAGAGCCGACCTCGACAGAGAAAGCACCGGGCAGCACCGTGTATGAACAGATCCACCAGGAGCCAGAGGACACGGCCGAGGAGGTGACATAGGCCCTCAGGTGCGGGTGGCCCGTGGCCGTGTCTGCCCCCGGGGGGACCGGGGCATGGAGGGCAGTCCCCACCTCTGTCACTGCATGACATGCCCACGCCAGGTCCGGGTATGGTGGAGAAAGGGGAGAGAAGGGACGAGCGCTGTCTGCAGGGAGGTGCACGGACGGACAGACAGACGGACAGACAGGGCAGTCCTCGGTCCCAGCTGAAGGATTTCTCTCCCCACAGGCGCCGACAGCGCTGGAGCATCAGGATGTAACTGAAGGGCTGTAACGTGCATTGTGTGCCAAACCCGACCCCTCTCCAGCCCCTGGTTTGGCTTCAGGGATGGAGGTGCCATCTCTGGGTACAGCCAACCGGATGCTTCCCCACCCACCTCTGGTTTGTCCAACCCTCTGTCCGAAGCCCTCGTGGCCCCTCTGGGGACATGGAGATGAGCGGCGACGATGAGGCTGAGTCCCTCCTCTGGCACAGGGCTGGGATGTGGCTCCATCACCCACACAACTGGGGGTCCCAGCCCCATTTCTGCCAGCTGAGAGAGTGGGCTGCCCTGGAGCAAGAAGAGAGGAACCAAAATCTTTATTTTTGGGGGGGGGAGGGAGGAATTGGGGTCAAGTGGAGGCAAAGTTGGGTGGACGGGGGCAGATCCAAGCACTGCAGATCCAGGATGGCACCACCTTGGGCTCCCTCACCCCCACTGCTCCCAACCCCCTCTCCTGAGGTTGGGCAGACCCTGGTTGTGACATCCCCAGGGCCATGTGAGGGGACCAATGCCTGTGGGAGATGTGCCCGCTCTTCCCCCACCCCATAGCCATTCCTGTGTCGCCTATGTGCTGCCATTAAGGGGGGGGGGGGGGGGGGAGAGGGAGGGGGGAAGTTTCACTTGTGTGTGTCCAGCACCTACTACTGTCATGGGCCCCGTGCTCGGCCCGACCTCCCCACGTCGTAAAAACAGCAAATAAATCTTGGTGAGAGCGTAGCAGGGAGCTGACAGCATGCGTGGGGCCGTGTGTGGGGCTGTGTGTGTGGGACTGTGCATCTGCTGCGCACACCCACATGTGGACCCCTCGCAGTCACGTCATCCCAGGGCTGTGCGCAGTTCGCTGCTGCCTTCCCCAGAAGCCACTTCTTGCTTCCCTCTTTTGGAAACACAGAAGCAGCAGCGGTGAGTGGCTCTGCACCGTCCCAACCCCTCGTGCTTCTCCAAATCCTCCGTCCCCTTGCAGGCGTGGGGCTGTCTCCAACGTTCTTATGTCTCTGCCTCTTTGCTGCTGGGCTTTTTGTTTCAAGAAAAGCAGGGGGGAAAACAGCCTGGTGGGGTGGGAGCATTCTCTTGGTGCAGTCCCAGGCAATGGGAACACGTGCTCCTTGCGCCAGGTGTCTGGCACAGCCAGCCCAGCTGTTTGTTATTTACCCAACTGCGGCAGCATCCGGGCTCCATCCCTCATTTATTGCCCCAGTAGCCCTGGATACGTTGCAGAGCTACAGTGAGGCTGAGCAGGGTCTCGCGTTGTCCCCAAGCTGCCACTCCCCATGAACCTGTGGGCAGATTTGCATGTGTCCTCTGCACCGCCTGCGCAGCTGAAGCTGCTGCTGCCTCGAGTTGGGGATGGAGAGATGGGGCAACTGTGCGGCCGACGATGGTGTCCCTTCATCCCCAGGCTGCTGGCTCTGCTACTTGTTGCCACAGGTAGGGGCTGAGTGTGGACGGGGTGGGGAGAGAGCTGAAGGTGGGAGGAAGGCTCAGCAGCAATGCTGCTGCTGCGGGAACCCAATGAAACCATGGGTGTGAGGCCGAATGAGATTCAGCCTTTGGGTTCGGTGAAGGTTTGAAAATATTTGGGAAATCAGAGGGGTGGGAGATGGGTTTTCCTCTGTAAAAGAGTCCAAGCGCTGTTCTCAAGGGAATCTGACTGGGGATGTGTGGATGTGATCCCTGGGCGAAGCAACACAGGCAGAACTTGGCACCAGGCACGGCATCACCCGACTCTATTTACTGACAGCATAAATCACACCTGGAGAAGTTTGATGTCAGCAGTGGGGCTGGAACCAGGTGGGACCATTTGCACCTTGCCCTGCTCCATGTTGGCTTGAAAATTGCTGGCTTTTGTGCTGGACTCTGCTCACCCACATGTTTCTAAGAGCCCACAGGGGTCGTCTTGCACAGCTCGAAGCTCTTGAGCAGATGCTCTGCTGTACAAAAACTACTCAGTGCTGCTGGGGCTGCACCAGGACAAAGCCAGGCACCCAGCCAGGTTCTCCAATGAGTGGTTGCAGCCCCCACCAGTCAGAAGACTCCAGGGTGAGGGTTTGGGGACAAGGAAAGGGATGGGGAAAGGGAAGGAATGAGCAGGCAACACCCATGAGCTTCCCGCAGCAGGATTGAGCTTGGAATTGCAGAGGCTGTGTTTGCATTGCACACTGGTGTGGGGCATTTGTTTGGGGCAAAATACGGGCAGGTGGCTCAGTGCCACCACGGGTGATTCATGGGGATGTGTTCCTGCTTTATGTCAGTATCCCCCCCCCCCAAAAAATGGAGATGTGTGGCTGCCATGGGGCTGTGACTCCCCACCGCAGTTTGCTGTCTGCTTGCTGACCGCTGCAGCTTTGCTTTCCTCTCTGCAAACTGGAGCTTGGTGCAGTGGATGGGAACTGTGTGGCTGGCCCTGAGTGTGGGCAGGAAGCGAGTGGCTGATGCAGGATGGGCCTTGTGATGTGGGGACACAGCGTTCCCCAGCATGGTCGCCTCTCTGCAGCTTTTTGTGTGTGAAAGCCGCCTCCTGCTCACGTCACAGGAGCTCTGTGTCTCGCCACAGGGCTGGGAACGGAGCTCTGCACCCAGCCCTGCTGCACCCTGCAGCTCAGCCTCCAGCTTTGAAGGGTCTCTGGAGGGAATTATTATGGGCTTCACCCTTAAGCCTGCTCCACCTCCAGCTCCACAATGGGGACAGGGTGGCGCGAGGACACCGCAGCACTGCGAGCGCGCGGCATCAACACAGCAGTGCCCAGCCACAGGCAGGGGAGGTGATGGTGAAGGTTAAAGAACCCAGGAGGGTGCCTGGGACTCTCCATCCCACTGAGCACTGCTGTCCTACCAGGCACTGCAGCTGTCCAGATCGAGCCAGTGAGCGGTGTGCTGGGGCACTCGGTGCAGCTCCCTCTGCAGCTGCAGCCTGGCAGCAGTGTGAAGAGGATCATCTGGAGCTTCAGAGCCAATGCCAGCAAGAAAATAGAAGTGGCTGAGTACAACCTGGAGACGTCCAAGCATTTCAAGTACAATAGGCAGCGGCTGGAGTTGTTCAATAAGACAACACTGCAGATCAGTGCCCTGGAGCAGAGTGACAGTGGGGTCTATGATGCAAGCATCACGTATCAGTCAAACGAGATGGATGAAAGCTCCTTCAACCTCACTGTCTACGGTGAGCTGAAGGGGTTTTGTAGGGGCAGGAACAGCATCCCCATCCCTGGGGTTTCCTGCCCCCAGGGAAAAGTGACAAACCCTTTTGTACCGAGAGTTATCAGCGGTTTCCCTTCCCCTTTCCCAGACGCACTCTGCTGCCGGTCATCTGCTAAGGGGATTTTCTAGCTTTATGACAAATCTGCTCTCCACCTGCACTTCCCTCTCGCTGCCCTTTGTCTGCCTGTCCCTCCCGGTTCCTTGAGGCTGCATTCCCCAGGTTCCTGCAGGTAGCTCTGTCCCAGCAGCACTGCCCACACTCCCAACAGAGCCTGTGCCAGTGCCCCTGATCCAGCATGAGATGCTGTCCTACACTGCCCAGGACTGCAGCATCATCCTGCGGTGCTTGGTGCCGGCTGGAAGTGGTGCTCAGACCACCTGGCAGCACGACAACACCTCCAGTGCAACTTGGATACAGAGTGACAACAGTCATGTGTTGCACCTGACCGTCCCTGCCAGTGCCCTGAATGTCGTCTACACCTGTGTGGCCTGGAACCCGGCACAGGAGCGGAGCAAGTCCGTGGACCTGGCAGAACTGTGTGCACAAGGTAAAGTCTCTCACTGTCCCCCTGTGCCACACCAGGTGCACAGAGCCAGCCGGCCATCCCAATACCTTGTCCCCATAGAGGCACACAGGTGGAGGTGGCCCATCTACCTGGCAGTGCTGGTGGGCGTTGTGGGAGCCTTGAGCATCGTGCTGTACCTGCTGAAGAGGAGGAGAAAGGCTGACAGAGGTGGGCGATGCTGTGGGGTGAAGGCTGCAGCCTGGGGGGCTGCAAGCAGGCGGCAGGGGGCCGTCCCCATCCCTCATGGCCTCACCTGCCGCACAGCTGCCGCCTGCCCCGAGGAGCTGCTGTACTCCCAGGTGCAAAGGAGAGATGTCGAGGACAGGGACGAGCAGGTGGGGCAGTGACCCAGCACCCAGCAGGGGGTGGGGATGGCAACGTCCCCACTGAGCCACCCCCCCCCGACCCTGGGCCGCTCCCACATCCCCTCAAGGGTCCCAGCAGAACCATCTACAGTGAGCTGGGGAGCGGTGGGGATGGCACAGCGTGGCCACAAGCCTGAGCGACGATGGACGGACGGATGGATGGACAGCCGGACACCCTGCCTCCATCTTGCTTTATTTCCCCGTGTTCTTTCCCCTTCCTCCCCATAGAACACGGGCCTGGCGGTGCTCCCCGCGGCCCCGGGCTGTGCACGGCCCCAATAAAGGCAGAGAAGAGGAAAGAGTGTCCGTGCGCGTGGAGGAACTGTGGGGAGGGGGTGAACGCATCGAGACCCCCCGCGAAGCACTTCGCTTTTCGCTCTCTATTGTCCCCCGCCGCCACCCGTCGCGGCGCGGGGCGGGAATGAGGCGGAGTGGCGCTGTGCGTGCGCGCGCCCGCTTTGGCCGGAAGCGGAAGTGCGTGGGAGCGTGCCCGGAAGTGTGTGGGCGGTGGCGGCGGTTCCGGTTCCGGCGGCCGTGCGGGGGAGGCAGCGGCGGCAGCAGCGAGGCGAGCGGCGCGCACCCCCCATCGGCACCGCGGCCCGGGCGCGCTCCGCCGCCCCACCGCACCCGCTCCGCCCGCCGGACCCGGCCCGGCCCGTGCCGCCCCCGCAGGTGGGTCCCGGACCCGGGCGCGGCCGAGTCGTTACCGCCGCCTCCCGGGCTCCGGATGGGCCACGCCGCGCGCGTCGCTTCGGTCCCGCGGGGGCGGCGAGGGGAGAGCGGAGGGCGGACGGAGGACGGACAGAGGGGCGGAGGCCGCCCGCCGGGGGCGGGGGTGCCGGCGGGGGTGCCCTCGGGGGCGGCTCCGGGGGCGGGGGCGGTGCGGAGCCGCGGTACCGTGGGCCAGGAGGGAGGAGCGGAGGACTGGGGCAGCCCCGGTTACCGGAGGCGCTCGGTGGGGTGGGGGCTCCCTATGATTGCGGGGAGCCGTGAGGGTGGGGGGTGGGCGGCAGCGTGCGGGAGGCGAGCGGGGGCGCGCGGCTGCGGGGGCAGCGTGGAGAAGCGTACCGGTAACCGGGAGCGACGGGATGGCGGCGGAGGAGGGGTGATGGTAACGGGGGCGGCCGCTCGGCCCGATCTTGGCGGGCGTAGTAGCGGGGGGGCGCGGAGCCAGCGCCCGCAGCCCGGGGCAGGGGCGGCAGCGCGGCGGCGGGCGGGCAGGCCCGGACAGGCCGGCGGCAGGGAGCGGAGGGGGCGGCCCCGCCGCCGGCACTGTAACGGGAGCCCGGAGCCCCGGCGCCGCGCCTGCCCCTCGCAGCTATTTACATGGCGTTACCATTTCAAAGCGGCGGCGCCGGGCAGGAAACCCCGGCGGGGACAGCGCGGGGCCGGGCCCCCTCCGCGGCGGGCAGGGCTGGCGGCGTTCGCCCCCGACCCCCCCGGGAGCCGGGCCCTCCCCGGGCGCCGCTCGGTGCCGCTGCCCCGCCCGCAGGTAGCGCCCGGCCCGGCGCCCGCCTCCCGAAATTAAAGTCAGATGTGAGTGGGGAGCGGGAGCCGGGATCCCCCCTCCCCTCGCTGGTACATCTGGGTGAGCTCAGCGGCTTGTGTGTTTTGGCAGCGCGGCCGTCTCGTAACAGGAGACAAACTGCACTGGGCTTGTTTTGTCTGCCTCACGGCCCCGCCGGGCCGCTCCGACACGGCAGCGCCGAGCAGAGCCCGACGCCCCACGGTGCAGCTGCACGGCGACGGGGGCACCGACGGTGGGGTGTGGGTGCAGGGAGGGGAGGGCTGGGATTCAAAGCGCTGCCCGCGAGGTCGTTGTAGCGATAGCGCTGGCGCTGATTTCCTTCTGTTTCGCAGTCAGCAGGAGGGAGAAAATGAAAGCAGGCTGCAGCATTGTGGATAAGCCAGAAGGAGGAGGAGGTAAGGACACGCGCGCCGCGTGGAAGGCTGAGCGCAGGGTGTTCAGCTGTTACAAATTCTTTTCCCAGGCTGAAGGAGCTCAGGCGGGATTAATTCCACCTCTCCTCAAAGCTCTTTGCTGTGTGTCACTGGGAATCGATAAGGCTCCCTCTCGGTGCACTCTCAGCCAGTTTTACAGCCTCGTGAGCTCTGTGTTAATATGCAAATGGATCCTCGTGGAGACATTTTGTTTGTGAGGGTTTGGGAGCTCCAAGTGTGCTCCCCCCGGGGCTGGCGCTGCGCTCCCTGGGTTTGTTTCAGCCGCAGCCTGCGATGTGGGGAGGTGGGAGGGGGGGCTGAGGGGGGGTTGGGTGCCATCTGAGCACGACGAGGCTCTGCGCACGCTGCCTGAGCTGAAAATTGTGGCCACGACGATTTGGAAAACCGCGCAATAGCAGCTGTGCTGGGAAACTGCTCTGACAGAGCTGAACTTGGCAGTCGCTCAGAAACATCTGTTGGCTCGGCTGAGGGCTGGAGCAGGGTGCTGTGCTCTGAGGGATGTGGAGCTGGAGACCCCCAGAGCCACCCATGCTTGCCTCCTGAAAGAACAGTGCACCAGATATTCCAATCTGGTTTTGTTTTTCTCGTTATTTTGAGGCACCTGATGTCCAAATCGTACCAGTGTTTAAAACTCTTGGGCTCCTTTCCACCGTGTCTGACTCTTGTATGGCTCTCATACCTCTGTGTGTTTTCCCTTTTTTTTTTTTCCTTGGGACTTCTCCAAGGAGAGTAGGGGTAAAATGAGTAAGAAAATGAGCAACTAGTGTGAGAAATCTGGGCTTCTTTTGCTTCTGCACTGAATACTTATTGGAATTACAGCTCCCAGCGATGCTCTGTGGTCCTCCTCTGGAAAGAACATTACCAATACGTAGCGCAGGCACTCGTTCCCAGCTGTAGCACTTGGCATTTGGGAGCTCTGTAGCTGTGAGCCATTGTCTGAACGCCTCTTTTTTTGGCACTTCCCAAGGTTATCACTTCCCCGAGTGGGCATACAAGACCGAGTCCAGCCCTGGCTCGCGACAGATCCAGCTCTGGCACTTCATCCTGGAGCTGCTGCAGAAGGAGGAGTTCCGCCATGTCATTGCCTGGCAGCAGGGCGAGTACGGGGAGTTCGTCATCAAGGACCCCGACGAGGTGGCACGGCTGTGGGGCCGGCGGAAGTGCAAACCCCAGATGAACTACGACAAGCTGAGCCGAGCTCTCAGGTGAGCAGGAGATTCCCTGGGCCACCCATCTGGATAACTGACAGCAAGCTTCAACGCAGTTAACGTTTTTGGGGGTGGTTTTGTATCGGATCTGTGCTCTGGGATGTCAGACTGCCTAGTGAGGTACCAGAGCGTGAGCAGGGAGACACAGGAGAGGGAATTCCTGGATCACCGTGACGTGTTTTGCGGCCAAGCGTCGCAGTGTAAATTTGCACCTGGTGCTCAGGTTGTTATTATCAGGATGGGTTCCTTCCGGGGAGCTTTTCTGTCTCTTTTTTTCGCTGCTTCCACTGCTGATGCTGGCTTGAGCAAGAAGGTGTGGGAGGAAACCAGAGGCGTTACTCTATTATCACACCATCAACGATACAGTTTCAGAGAAAGCAGCTCCCCTTTCTAACATGCCTTTGTCTCTTTACTGCTAAACCTGGTGCCCGTTCCAGGGATTGGAGGTGTGTCAGTCACCTGTCACCACCCCCTTCATGGTTTGTCACACAGCAGTGAATTCCATGTCCTGACCCCAACGACATGAAGTTGTCTGTGGGTGAAGGGCACCCTCCAGCCACCGATGTCCCCTCATTGGAGGCAGGGGCTGATTGCTCCTCCCTCTGCAATTCCAAAGACTAAACTCTCCCTTAATAGCTCTGTTCTATTTAGCCTCTCTCGGATGGTTTCTGTTTTTTCAGTGGCTAATCTGTATTTTGAAATACAGACTGTAAGAATGTCACGCAAGCCTATGAAGCATTTCCAGCCCGTCAGGAGCACCCAGGTTCTTGACAGGTCCTGGCATTATCAGCACTGTCTGCTACGTGGACTTCGCTGCCTTACGCCCTATGATACCTCCTGGGTGGAGCTGGCAAAGACAAACAAGGCAGCAAGCACTCGAGTCCCATGCTGGAACAGGAAGGAAACGATAAATTGAATGGCGCTGAGGCTGTAATTGATTCATGGGAGTGGAAAATAGCCACCACCTGCCAACACTGATCATGTCTTGGCATCTCGGTGCCAAATGTGACAGCAGTGGGACAGGAGCACTGTGGCTATTGACATTTGCTCCAGGTGGGGAGCTCTGGCTTGTTTCCCCCCCTTCTTGAGGAGCTGACGCTGCTTTGTTTGGGGTTTGCTGTGGCAACAGCATGTGTTAACCTAGCTCTGAGTGTGAAAAATTGTGTCTGGGATCTGCGTGAAGCACCTTAGCACACCATTATTACATGGCTGAGACAAACAGTGGTGCTAGTGTAAGTGGAGAGGAGGCTGTGGTGAAGTTTGTACCTCCTCTCCCGTGCTCTGCCTTTGTTGGGGCTGTGAATTATGGTGCTAATGGGTAAATGGAAAGGCAGCGATTTGCTCGCAGGCCTGATGGCAGCAGGAAGCTGCCCTCCTGATGTGCAGTGTGATGCTCTGTACACTGTGCTGTGTTTGTGGCAGTGTGCTAAGCCTTGAGGACAGAAGGGAAAACAAAACCAGAGGGCATCCGGTTTGTTTGGTCCCCCTGCCATTGCACTGAGTTTTGTTCTGCTAAAATCTGGAGTACAGATTCCCCTTTCTCAGGTTCAGTGTCTCAGTGCAGGCTGTCAGCTAAGTCAGTTCCGGATCCCATCATGTTCATTTTTTGTGAGTATGTCAAAGGTGGATGTTGGTAGCATTACAAAACAAAGACTCTTAAACACATCTCCACGTGCCTTGATTGGTCTCTCTACCTTCCTTTTATAGATATTATTACAACAAGAGGATTCTTCACAAGACAAAGGGCAAAAGGTTTACTTACAAGTTCAACTTCAACAAGCTGGTGATGCCCAACTATCCGTTCATCAACATTCGGCCTAACGGTGAGCACAGAGTTGGGGCTGGCGACTTCCTTGCATGTCAGAGGGTGCAGGAGTGGGGCCAGGGCAGCAGCAGCCTCTGCACATCCCCTATCAGTCACCTCCTACTCTTGAAAGACTGCTGGGGCAATCAGGGCTGGTGTGGTGAGAATGCCTGGGCACTGATAAAGCTTTATCTGCAGCTCTCCTTCCCTCATGGCGCATCTGTGGTTGTCCTCAGGGGAGACCGGAGGCATTTTTGGTTTCCTATTTGAGCCTGGCTGCTGGTCTGCCTTTATTGGTGCTGTGGCTTTGCTTTGCT